GAGTGCCACCTACTGAATGACTGTTGCCACTTTCTGCATCACTTCTTGTTGTGGTCTTCCAACAAAACACTGCAGAATTACAGGATTTTAGTGCAAGACAACATGATTCCAGGTTGCAAACTGACCTTGGACAAGACTCTCAGAAGCAGGGACCACGATTGGTGTCTCTCTCTAAAAAAATGCTCTGCCCTCCTCTAAGCCAACTCTCGAAGGCAGGATCAGTCACTGCAGGAAGACTCTCTGCCTCCCCAAATCATAAATGGAATCAGCCTCAGTATCTCCCCTCTAGCTGTGGGCTCAGTATAGCTTTTCTTTTTGCTTGATGGAGACTGTGATTGCTGGAGCCTATGCTCAAGGCCTGAGTTTAATTAAATAACAGCCTTATCATTAGTAATTGCTCTGGTATTTTTATTGCAACAATGTGAATCCTGCCGATCTTCCTGGGCATTAGTAGAGCTATGATAAGTTGCTTTCATAGGGTTTTCCCTAGAAACTAATGAACTGATACACTGAGAGCCTTGGCTGGAGACAAGGATTCAGGTACCCTGAAATCAGCGGCAGCATGAATTTCTTCCCCTATTTTCCCAACCTCAGGCTTCTGGCCCAAGTCTCCATATCACCACTGCAGAAACCATAGCTGGAAATGTACTACAGGAGAAAGCCAGATAGTTCCAGTCCAGGAGGGGGGGATGATTCTCAGGAAGGGGCGCAGAAAAAAAATAGTTGGGAAATTAAAGACAGAGGGCTAGAATTCCACTGACTTAGTTTGAGTTCCTGTTTCTACCACAGCCTTGTGTGTGTGACCTCACACAAGTTGCATAAGCTCTTTGACAGAAATCCAGGCCCTTCTGAACACCATAGAAGTTGTCAGTCAAGCCAAGTTTTCATTCTTTGAGCCTCAGTTTGCCACCTGTAAAATGGGAAAAGTAATAGTACTTTCCTACCTCACAGAGGCCTGGCAAAGATTAATAAAGAAATGTATGGGGGTGCATAAATAAAGATAAAGAAACATCAGCTGAGAGGAAGCTCGCACCTTTTTGGCTTCCCCATGAAATGTTCATGCATTTCCTACTTGCAGCAAAGCTACTGCACCCACACAATCTGGAAACTTGTCACCACGTTCAACTGGTTGTGTCTGTAGTGGAGGTACGCATTGTACTCCTGGAATATATGATACTTGAGTTACTGCTGTCACTTGCCAGGATGCAGGACTCCTGGCACCTTTTAGGCTAACATTTAGGAAAAGGCATTGAGGGCAGGAGGTGAGGCATGAGTTCGTGGAACCCAGCCCATGAAAGCTGTGCTTCTGAGCCCATCCGGCTTTGAAATGGCTTGATGGAGCATCTGTTTACAATAGTTTTGTTCCAGGTCAGGAGGGAAAATGTGTACGTCTGTATGATTGCATCCTGGGAGTCTTCTTCACATGCAGTGCTCCATGTGAAATGATCTATCTATCTCCCAAAGGAAGAATGAAATGTCTTTTATTAGCTAGAGGGTGGGGAAAGAGCACTTTGGTAGAGACACAGAAGGGGATTAAAATGGATAAATCCATATGTTTTACCCACAGAGAATATATATCCTTTAGAAGGTGCCATTTCCAGCACTGAAATTTCAGTACTGCAGCAGGATAAAGGTCTGTGTAGAGAGTATGTTGTGTTGCCCCATGAAAAGAGATGAGGGAGTTAATATTAAGCACCTGGGAGCAAAAGCAAGACAGGAACGCTCTCCCCAAGCAGACAGCATTGAATCTCAGTTAACCTTGTTAATCTTACCAACCAGAGGCAGCTGGGTTTAGGTGAATTTCAGAGCTGCAGCTAAAATCTGATTAACTACAAAATGAAATGAATGTTGTGAGGCAACAATGTGCTTTGATTGGAAGCAGGAGTTTGCTATAAAGGTCAGGTAATCCCATCAAGGAACATGTGCCACACGTACTGCAGCTCAAACAGCAAATTCTGAACATTGGAAAAAAAATCAATGAGCACTCACAACAAGCAGTCCAGGGTAACTACTTTGGCTGAAGTTGGTGTTATATGCACTAAGTGTCAAATATTTTCAATAACCAACACAGTTTGTAAAAATCACTATCTGCTTTGGGTCAGTTGGCATCACTTCTCATTTCATTTCCCATCACTAAAATGCTGATGGTGACCTCTAATACTAAAATGGACATGTCTACTTCAATACTGTGTTCTCTGATTTCAGGGCTTTTTAGATTAGACTCATAATGGATGACCTTTCATAATGAGCATATGGGACCATAAAGATGTTTACAAACTCTGAACTCCAGAGAAAAACTTACTGTAGGCTCCAGAGGCAAATATATCAAGAATACCACACCCTCTGAAATAGATTTACAGCATTTTTATTCAGTTGCTTTGAAGGTGCCGTTCCAAAGTGCCTTTCTGCCTCTTTCATGTGCACATGCACATACACACACATACATACACACACATATACACACGCGCTCTCCTTTCTGTCTGCATCATTTGCTAGTTGCAATAGTTTTCCAGCTGGTAAAGGGAGCAGGTGTTATGGCAACATTGCTCGACAATTCCCCTCTTCACTTTCTCATATTCCTGCTGTTGGAATGCTAGCTCTTCCACTTCGTTCCGCAGAGGCCCATTCACTGTCAGGGGTAAAAAGAAACTCATGTGAATCCATACACAAGCATCTCAGCTGGGACCATGCAGTCTAGAGATCAATACCTGCTGCCTAGAGATGGCTGGAAAATGGGGAAATAATTGCAAATATTTTCCCCTTATTAATATTGTTTGTATCACCATAGCACACGGAGGCTCCATATTTCATGTCCCAGCAGGGTTGTGGAGCATATGAGAGGAACCAAATCTTTTAAGTGTTGGCCATACTACAGGGATGAAGGTGTGCAAGACGCAGTGGGGAAGATGTGTAGCAATGGAGAGAAGCCTTGTAGGCTCAGTTGATGACTCTAGCTAGTTCATAGGATTGTAAAATGGCTCATCTGTTCCATGGAGGTGAGATAGGTGGAACTGCAAACTTCATGAGGGGTCATTATCCTGTGAACCTGAGCAAACAATTTTGTCTGCCCAAAGGACTGCTGACTTAGGTGAGTTGTGAAGGGGGATGTGTTTCATGTTTGGCTCCTGAACAGCCTGCATGCAGTCTACAGCTCGTCACAAATGATAGGTTTGAATGTGGAGTGAAAATTGTCACAAAAAATGACAAAGCTGGGAGACTATACAATGTTTTTGACAAAATGTTCTGAGCTGCTGATGCACAACTCAAAATTCTTCACTAGAAATATTTGTTTTTCCATTTTGCAGTTAACAATAGGGAAAATTTTTACCTAAATGAAAATTTTCACCCGGGGGGGACAACTTTTTTTTTAACAACAAAATTTTAAATGGTGGGTTTGTTTGATTTTTTTTAACCAGCTTTCATGGTGTAACCAGTTTTGCTCCTGGCTCTTTATAATTAGTTTATTATTTAAACTGTAAGGGCTTTGGGGCTCCGTGCTTCTTATATTTGTAAAGCACCTAGCACAAACGGGTTTTCATTCCAATCAAAATTTTCCAAACGATCCTTTCAGAGTTAAAAAGAACAGGCAGGAAAAAGCACCTCCGCTATCTTAATGTTACAATGGCTCTTCTGCTCATGCAAGTCACTGATTTCAGTAGAATGGTGCTTCTTACAGGTCTCTTGGGCTGAAAAACTACTCCACTGTGCCCAATACATGACAGGACCCATACTACATCTAGCTGAACTAATGGATGCTTCCCCCAGCTCTCTTTCCTTCAAGGATTCTGTGCCCAGGCAGCTGGCTGAGGATAGTTCTGGTGATGGTAAAAACCACTTGCAGGTCAGCCTAGTGGCAAGACATGATAATTAACCTCACTAAGAATGGGGAGTGAGTGGCACTTTTTCCAACCTCTGCTAAGGCAGAGGAGACAAGAAGTGAGTCTTCAGCAATCACTCCTTCTGCATAGTAGCACATCGCTTTTCTTACAACACCACCCAACCAGCCTTGGTTTAAACAAAAATCCTTCATTTGTTATATGAGTCAATGCATGTTTTATACATATTTTTGGGAAGTGGCTGTAGTGCTCCTCTATCCCTGGGTCATTTGGCTGTGAAATGTTAGCATTATCAGCTCCTTGGAGCTGCAACATTACTTTTATGTGTTTATACAGTGCCTAGAATAATGGCGTCATGAGCCATGGCTGGGGCTTCTCAGCACTACTACGGTACAAAGACACTGTAGAAATTAGATCCTTTCTTTGTATGCCTGTGGGAGGCTGGTGATATCTCAGCATAGCTGCCTGGAAGAGAGGTGGAAACATCAAGACTTGCTGGCCCATCATTTTC